AAAATATCAGTTCTCCCGTTTAAAAACTGGAAGTAAATAGTTCGTGAATATCACAACTATTTTCCTACAACAATGTAATAATTTGATCTCTTAAGACTCATTAAAAATACTTTTGTAATTTTTTAACAGAATTTTGACATAGAATTCATACTTCAGAGAAGTTGGAAAGACCCACGCATAAGATTCAACGGCACAGGCCGGCATGAATATATCAATGGCTTATCCCATGCAGATGGTATCTGGATGCCAAATACGAATATGCTTAAATATGGTGGTTTTAACATTATGATACCTCATATGAACCTTAGAATACACAAAGATGGATTTATAATACATGCTTCAAGGTAAATTGATAAAATAAATTATTTTATTTAGTACTACTCCGTTTGTCAAAATTGAATAGATAGAATTCAAAAGGATAATATCGAGCAATGCTTGTCACTATTTAAAAATGACATTGTTGAAAGATATAAATTCAGCATTACATTAATAAAACTTTTTTTTAATGGCGGAACAGACCATAGTGGCTTTCAGCTAGCTAAACAATATTGTTCCAAACCTTTCTGTTTTTAACCTTGTTTCTAGCATGTAATTTTATTTGTAGTTAGATCTTTTGTTGCATCGTCTAACTATCTCTGTTTACGCCTTCAGTCCATTGGCTTCTATTTTAAGTTTTTTTTCAGACCACTGTTTTATTTCATTCTTTCTATGTGGCCCTGCTATAGCAAGAATCTCATATATATGAATTGAATTAGGATTTTTGTTTAATTAAAATGTCAACCTCAATAATGTTTATAATTCTTCACTGTAAACTATTTAGATAAAATGTTGCAAGTATATTGTGGAATGGTATTTTTTTATTTAGTAGTTAACAAGAAGTAAGTATTACTTAAATCACAAAGTATCACAACTGCGAGAAACTGCGCCTTAAATTTCAAAGTAGTTTCCGTAGTCTCAAAATTTAAACACTGATTCAGTAAAAGAAAATAGGATATCAATTAAAATTACTTTAAAGAAGGGAAAGATCACAAAAAAGTGAAAATACTAAAACTAAAACCGCAAAATATCGCAGAAGTCTTATAAGTCTGATCGTTTCACATCCAGTACTTTCAGTTAAATCTGTTCTAGTTGCTGTAAACTTAGTAAAATTGAGTTCTATTTCTGTTAATGTAGAATCATCGTACTATGCAATCAAGTGATGATAAGTTAATTAAATTTCGCGATATTTGATAAAAAGTTTATTTATTTTCAAGAAAACATTGTTCAACGCAGTTCCATAATAAATTTGCAACAAATTGAAACGAAAATATGGTTTAACATAGAGTAAAATATAGAGAATAATAGAATTGCATAGAATTTTTTTATGTTGAATCACTTATGTTTTAATTCAGTTTAAATTTGAATTAAAATAAAAGTTCTAGTCAGAATGTTAGTAGGCCACACCAGAAGTCTCTGCGTGGAATACTGGATTGAGTTAGTAGGTAACGGATTAAGTGTCAATTCTGATTCTAATTGCCACATAGATGCCCTTTTTCGTGCGGGGTGAGAAAAGGAATAATGAATCAGTGCGGAATAACAGATTGAGTGATTGATTGATTGATTTGTTTATTTACGTCATACTAGAGCTGCACAATGGGCTATTGGTGACGGTCTGGGAAGCACCCTGAGGATGATCCGAAGACATGCTATCACAATTTTGATCCTCTGCAGAAGGTATGGCACCTCCACTTCGGTAGCCCGACGACCTGCACGCGAAGTCGAGCACTTTACGGTAGAACAGTTTAACGAGAACCAATACCGTACACCCTCGGTCCTTACGCAGACTGATCTAAGTGGTCACCCACCCGCACACTGACCGCAGTCAGTGATGCTTGACTTCGGTGATCTGCTGGGAACCGTGTCTTAACGATCAGTGTACTGCGGGATGCGGAATAACAGAACATAACGAAATCATCCATAAAACAAAAGGATATTTATGAACACAAAATATGAGGCTAAATTAGTTCTATATTGTTTTATTTATTATTTTGATGCTGCTGATCACCATTACTTATATTATAGTGGTAGTTAAAGCATCATCCTTGACTTTTAGCCGTTACATGCACATCTTAATTTAGATAATCTTAAGGAAATAAATAAAATCGCTTAAGCAAAATTAATTTATTAAAATGATTGATTGAAAATGGCCATAATTCAAAAATAAAGAAAAGAAATACCTCATGGGGATTAAAATGACATTCTCTATACCGGGAAGTTTTTTGATTGAGAATGATATTGAACTGTTGGGACTGGGAGGCTTAAAAGGACACCCCCAGTCACCACAAATTTGAAATTGAAAGTGAATGAACTTGTTCCTAACGGACAACAGAAGCATGGAGAAGAGATGCAATGTTGGCGAATTATCGAAAAATAACGTAGCCAAAATAAAGCCCACCTCCCATTATCAATATATTAGGTTTGAAAATATTTTGGCGATTGCGAACCGTCAACAAGACTACGCGAATTATTATAACCATGTAACTGAAACATATTTCTGGTAAGAAATTAATAATAAAGAGTTATGAATAGATTTTTGTTTTTGATTAGGCGTGACAGCGAATTAACGGTTCTGGGCTTATAAGAGAGACGCACAGACAGAAAAATTCTTCATTTTGTTATTATTGATATATTGCGTGTTATTTATTATAGATTGATATTATAGATATATTGCATGTTTTGTTATTATAGATATATCGCATATTAGAAGAGAAAATTAATTTTTTTTTCTAAATCATTTCATGGAAATGAAATCTTTTGAATTCCACAATATACATTTTAAACACACTATAAAAAAACATACTAATACAAGATTTCGTACCTTTAATTGGATGTGACCTAAACCGAGTAACATTGCATCGAAGATAATCTGCATGGGAGACTAAGAACTAAATTGTTTCTCATGTAACAGACATAANTCAACGGCACAGGCCGGCATGAATATATCAATGGCTTATCCCATGCAGATGGTATCTGGATGCCAAATACGAATATGCTTAAATATGGTGGTTTTAACATTATGATACCTCATATGAACCTTAGAATACACAAAGATGGATTTATAATACATGCTTCAAGGTAAATTGATAAAATAAATTATTTTATTTAGTACTACTCCGTTTGTCAAAATTGAATAGATAGAATTCAAAAGGATAATATCGAGCAATGCTTGTCACTATTTAAAAATGACATTGTTGAAAGATATAAATTCAGCATTACATTAATAAAACTTTTTTTTAATGGCGGAACAGACCATAGTGGCTTTCAGCTAGCTAAACAATATTGTTCCAAACCTTTCTGTTTTTAACCTTGTTTCTAGCATGTAATTTTATTTGTAGTTAGATCTTTTGTTGCATCGTCTAACTATCTCTGTTTACGCCTTCAGTCCATTGGCTTCTATTTTGAGTTTTTTTCAGACCACTGTTTTATTTCATTCTTTCTGTGTGGCCCTGCTATAGCAAGAGTCTCATATATATGAATTGAATTAGGATTTTTGTTTAATTAAATGGTCAACCTCAATAATGTTTCTAATTCTTCACTGTAAACTATTTATATAAAATGTTGCAAATATATTGTGAAATGGTATTTTTTGATTTAGTAGTTAACAAGAAGTAAGTATTACTAAAATCACAAAGTATCACAACTGCGAGAAATAATTGCGCCTTAAATTTCAAAGTAGTTTCCGTAGTTTCAAAATTTAAACACTGATTCAATAAAAGAAAATAGAATATCAATTAAAATTACTTTAAAGAAGGGAAAGATCACAAAAAAGTGAAAATACTAAAACTAAAAACGCAAAACATCGCAGAAGTCTTATAAGTCTTATCGTTTCACATCCAGTACTTTCAGTTAAATCTTTTCTAGTTGCTGTAAACTTAGTAGTAAAATTGGGCTCTGTTTCTGTTAATGTAGAATCATCGTACCATGCAATCAAGTGATGATAAGTCAATTAAATTTCGCGATATTTGACAAAAAGTTAATTTATTTTTAAGAAAACATTGTTCAACGTAGTTGCATAATAAATTTACAGCAAATTGAAACGATAATATGGTTTAACATAGGAACATGGAGAATAATAGAATTGCATAGAATTTTTTAGGTTGAATTATTTATGTTTTAGTTCAGTTTAAACTTGAATTAAAATAAAAGTTCTAGTCAGAATGTTTGTGGCCCGCACCAGAAGTCTTTTCGTTTCATACGATTGAGTTAAAAGGTAACGAATTAAGTGTCAATTCCGATTCTTCTTTTTATAATTGCTACTTGGATGCCCTTTTTCATGCGGGGTGAAAAAAGGAACAATGAATCAGTTCTGAAAAACAGAACATAACGAAGTCATCCATAAAACTGAAAGATATTTATGAACACAAAATATGCGGCTAAATTAGTTCTATATTGTTTTATTTATTATTTTAATGCCGGTGATCACTATTACTAATATTATAGTGGTAGTTGAAGTATCATCCTAGACTTTTGGCCGTTAGATGCATATCCTAATTTGGATTGTCTCAAGGAAATAAATAAATTCGTTTAAGCAAAACTTATTTATTAAATACTAGCCGCCTAAGGCGGCCAGCTGTCCGCCACTCTAAGGGTTTTCAAAAATAAAGTTTTTTAAAACATAGCAGGAAATCTGAAGATTAGCGGACAATTAAAGTGTTCCTGTCCTGCAATTTTGTTTTCATATCCAGTTCTGCTGCAGATGTGTTATAGCTCTTGAGGATGTTTGAAGATGTAACTTTGCTATGGTAACCTAAGGCCTATGGTAACCTAACCTATAATATAACTATCAGGTGGAGACTTGTTTTTTTAAAAAAAAAATAGGCCTCAGAAATTGTAAAAGCATACAGAACTTGCTTTCGAAATCATCAATAGCTGAAAATTAAAACGCAGTTAATAACATATTTAAGAAACAGCAATAAAATAAAACTTGTGTCAGTCAGCATACAGATAGTATGTAATTCTTCTTATTCTTGTAAAACTTCTTTATAAACAATATTATTAGTTTTTCCATTTGGTGCCAATAAATATAAGTTCTTTTCATCACCAACTCTTGAACAGCCAACATAAAGCTGTCCATGGGAAAAGCAAGGCTTCTGAAAGTCAAGACCAACGACTTTTAAAGATTGTCCCTGAGATTTATTTATACTCTTCGCAAAACTAAGTCGTTTAAACTGAAATGGAATGTCTGAAGATATGATGGGGATGCGAGGAATAAGCACACTATTTCCTGTTGAATGTCCTGTTATAATCATAGCTTCAATAACATTAGGCATCAATTTTTTCACAATCAATCTTGTTTCATTACACAATGCAGGTGGATCCAAATTTCTTAAAAGCATTATTGGTGCTCCAATTTTCAATTCTAATTTATGTGCAGGCACTCCAGGTGGTTCCAATGAGTTCAAAAATTCTGTCTGATAGTTGACAACTTGATCTATTTCCATGACAGCGTTGATAGACTTGTAAATTTCCAGAGCACCAGGTAATTTCTTTAAAAGTTTCTTATTTATCACGGTTCTAGAATTGCTTGTCGAAATTTGGTCATGTTCCATCCTTCTTTGACGTTCCACAGACGTTTTTTGGGCCCTTCTTCTTCTTTGAGAATCTCTTAATATCTTTTTCTTTGACAAAATACAAAGTTTTTTGGAAAGCGGTTCTGCCATGTCAGTAATCGGGTTTTTAAGAAGTTAATGAATACTTTAGAACAACAATTACTATGAAAGCAAATCATGAAACTTCAATATTAAAATCTAAGTGCTTACCTGCAAACTGAAACTTTCTGAAATTAACTAATTACATTTAATAAAAACTGTTAAAATAAAGAATAGAAAAACCAAAGAGATCCAAGGTAAGTGTGATCGCTCCTTCAAAAACAATTAAATTCCTATTTTATATATTATATAGCTACAACGCTTAAGAAAAAAAAAACTAAAATGCTAAATACATGAAAAGAATACGAAAACGAATTAATTTTTTATGGTATCAATTTCTATTCCTATATAATTTTTTATGGTATCAATTTCTATTTCTATATCGCTACAAAAATTATCGTCTTCACTTAAGAAAAAAAATAGAGCGTGGAAAGAAGAAGAAAAACTTATTATAACAATTATGAACAGCGACAAATATATCAAAGCGAAGCGTTCTATTTACGTATCGAATATGTTGCCACATTTTTAATACGAAAGTTAAACTTTTCTCCACTTTGATAAATGTAAACTAATGCGAACCTTACAATTAAATTATTAATTCCTTCGTATATTATTGACTTAAGTTGTCGAAAATTAATATTTCAATTGTAAGGTTCGCATTAGCATGTATTTATAAGAGTGGAGAAAAGTATATGCATTTTTTAATAGTTTTTTGAACATGGCTTTTGAAGACGAAAAAGCATAGATTTTCTTACAAAATGACCGATAACTAAAAAACTAATCCAAATTTTTGAAAAAGAAAAAATATACTTCTTCATTATGTCGAAACACAAATTATGTGCGAGTTTCGTGACTGGGCGAGGCTTCTGGGGCGATATATTGTGATTACAGACACACACACACAGCCGCGTTTATTATTATGTATAGATTGAAAATGGTCATAATTGAAAAAGAATGAAAAGAAATACCTTATAGGGATCCAAATAACATTCTTTATATCGAGAAGTTTTTTTTGATTGAGAATGATATTGAACGGTTGGGACTGGGAGGCCTAAGAGGACACCCCCAGTCGCCACAAATTTGAAATAGAAAGTGAATGAATTTGTTCCTAACGGCCAACAGAAGCATGGTGAAGAGATGCAATGTTGGTGAATTATCGAAAGATAACATGGCCAAAATAAAGCCAATCTTCCGTTATCAATATTAGGTTTGAAAATATTTTGGCGATTGCGAATCACCAACAAGACTATGAGAATTATTATAACTATGTAACTGAAACATATTTCTGGTAAGAAATTAATAATAAAGAGTTATGAATAGATATTTGTTTTCGATCAGGCGTGACAGTGAATTAACGGTTCAGGGCGTATAAGAGAGACACACAGACAAACAAATTCCTCATTTTGTTATTATAGATATATTGCATGCTATTTATTATAGATTGATATTATAGATATATTGCATGTTTTGTTATTATAGATATATCGCATATTAGAAAAAAAAATTAAATTTTTTTTTTCTAAATCATTTTATGGAAATGAAATCATTATCACGGAAATGAAATATTTTGAATTCCACAATACACAGTTTAAACACACTATAAAAAAACATACTAATGCAAGATTTCGTACCTTTAATTGGTTGTGACCTAAACCGATTAACATTGCATCGAAGACAATCTACATGGGAGACTAAAAACTAAATTGTTTCTCAGGTAACAGACATAAGCAATTTGAGAAAAATAATTAGTTGGTTTAGACGTGTTTAAATGTATAAGTTTGAAGAGTCATAATAACTTATGATTCTTTTTATTTCCCATTATCGAAGTCAATAAATTAATTATGAAACGAAATCTACAGCTTAAGTAAGTACTAATAATTTTTTAAACTAAAATTAAAAAATAAAAATAATTAAAATATGTATTCCAAAAAATCTATTATTGAAAGCTTATTTGCTTAAAGTATAAGTTTAAATAAGTTCAAAACTGATTTATTATATTTTTAAATTTTTTTATAACAGTTGTTGAACAGCCGACTTAATTTTGAGTTAACGACTACCAATGTTTAACTCCGTAGCCGCCTTGTAATTTTGAACTCGATCCAAAATACAAGGGAATTCTTGGATTGATGGATCGAGATCAAGTATCGGAAGAAATTTGCCTTTGTGGAGGACTAGCCCGCTTTTGCGTTTCACAGGGAAGAAATCCACGAAAACCCCCTATGGTTAGCTCCTATGGCAAAGAGACCCCCTATGGCAAAGAGACTCTAATCCATGATCCGTATACCACTGAGGATATTTTACGCCAGCATTGTTGTCGGTGCTATTTCGGAATTAAGATTGAGTCCCAAAACATGAAGATACGATCATTAAATAAAAAGTAATATAGGGTGCTCCCCTTATTTATTTTTTTAAATTTTTGTGCTCCGTACATTAATAAAAAGAATCGAAATATAATGTTTCTTTGAAAATAAAATGAAGCCAATAGATTTCAGGGATTTAAATAAGCATTGTTTTTCTTCTTTTGATAGAATTGGAGTGAAGATAAATTGCATGGCTAACATAAGAATTTTTCCATTCGACAATCCAAAATGCGCATTTGCAGTAGAAAGTGGTAAGTTATAAAACCTTGAACTAATTATATTGTTCAATATTTCAGGATATATTTGGCGATATATATGTACCTCAAGGCTATCAATTAGAGGAAATACTTCGTCAATATTTACCACTCTACCTTAATAATCGTTCAATTCTGAATGAAGCATATCTCATCGGTTGCTTTCAAACTTCTCATATGACAATTCTGAATTACGTGACTTGTATTGATTGTGATTATTATTTATATATCCTTCTCACAACATGAGATTTTGTTTGAAATTAAGCTACTAAACTTATTTGTTAGCTAAAAAAAGATTTTTTTGTCAACAGATCTTTTTCCCAAGCATGGGTATTTGAATGCAAGAAAAATATTTAAAAATAATGAATATGAGAATGATCATCACAACTTATCAGAAAATAGTACTGCAAGAATACTGTCGATCATACATTTTGAAACGGAACGTAGCAGCATGAGTCCCACAAACCGAACGCAGCATATTTCATTCAACAGAATAGTTATTGAACAAATTGCTATTTTATTTTGAAATTACAAAGCTATTAAAATTTTTTTATTACATTTTATATTAGAACCGTCGTTAAACAGCTGACCCAATTTTTGGGTTTACGACTACTGATGTTCAACTACGTAGCTTGGTAATTTTGAACTCAATCCAGAAGACAAGGGAATTCCTAGATCAAGTAATAGGAATAATTTGCCTTCATGGAGAACTTTTTGATGGAACTAACAAGCATTTGTGTTGCATGGAGAGGAAGACCACGAGAACATCCCACGGTTAATCTGATGGCAAGGAGACTCTAACCCATGATCCGTCTACCACTGAGGATATTTCATATGAGCACTGGGGTCAGTGCAAGCTGGATGCGGAATTCGTATCTACTAGCCACAGTCGGGATTCGAACCCAGTTCACCTCATTGGAAAGCGAACGCTCTATCCCCTGAGCCATCGCGGCTCCTATGATGTATTTATAGGGAGC